ATATTTGTAGTAACACAGAAATATTGAAATAGTCCAAAGCTTGTGTATAACCAAAACATAAATGTCTGATTACACTAATGATTGTAGAGGATATCCACCTCATTGGCGAGGAAGCGAATGCAGCTCCCTCTCAGGAAATAACAACAGGATACGGGAGTCGTTGTTCTGACTGCGTGGACCTAATGAACTGTTTAGCATTCTGGTATGTCTGAGCTTCCTCGCTGTTTATGCCCTTGTCTTATTTAATTTGGCTGCCATGCCAGGCAGGTCCAGTCGGGTATGGTTTATCGTGTTAGTAGCCTGATGGTCCACTTCAATATTAGCATGTCTGGCTGACACTGGAGCGTGACTGTTGGAGTGAGCCTGGAGATCAGCTGCTGGTTGCTCGATTTAAAAATAGTTCCTTGTTGTGTTTGGTACGGGTGCTCGTATTGAGCTTAACCAAAGTTTCAGTTAGGGCTGGGCAGTTAATTCGACTTTTAATCTCAACTGATTTTGATGACCAGCAGTTATGAAAATGAAATAAATTGGAAGGAACTGTTACTGATTTGCATTCATGATCAATACAAAGCTGTAGTTCTTTTCCAATTAATTAAAGCTCACACCTTTCTTTTACACTTGTGCGCTTCCATCAGATATCACTCTGGGTCAACACACCTGAATCACATGATGAGTTCATTCATTACCTCTGGAGAACTTCAAGACATGTTGAGGAGGTCATTTAAATCAGCTGTGTTGGATCTAAAACCTGCAGGACACTGGCCCTTGAGGCCTGGAGTTGCCCACTATAAGCAGGAAAGCTCCACCCACCTGCAGTTCAAATCTTTTGTTTACAAGGGACAGCCAACCAGAGGAAACCTGTCTTAAAGGTAGTGAGAATGGAGCTAAAAGTGTTTGGATTGGGGTTTTTTTTGGTTTTGGACTTTTGTTCAGACAAAACAAGACATTTAAAAATGAACAGCACGCTGTTTAAATGAGAGAGTAAATAACATTTAAATAAATATATTGTGTATCGAGTTTATTATTGAGGTTTATTCCAGAATAGATTAGTTTTACATTTCATGCCAGTCTGTCGAGTTATTGATAAGGCACTGATTTTAAAACCACAGATGTGCATTAGCCAAAGCAAATTTAAACACAGTGTTGTGGCCTCTGTATTAAATAAATCATTAGTGTATTGTTCACAGAGGGGTTATGATAATTATCAGCTGAGCTGTTCTGTCATGCACAATCTCGATATTCTTGCTTTACTGTAGGCGGCATCACACATTTTCTTCTTTGATGGTTTTTGATGAGTTGCAGCATGTTTGTACACAACATGTTCTTAAGAATTTGTTACTGCATGACTGTTTTCCTCTCTGACTGACACCATTTCATGCACATATGCCTCCTCTGAAGCATCTTTCTGAGTTTACATGTCTAAAAATATGACTCGTTCATGCACTTTGACTAAAGATGCATTATTCAACGCCTCTGCAGAGTAATTAAATCTTAATCAGGGATGGGCTCCTGTCCTTATGGAGGCGTGTCTGTGTGAGTGTGTATGTGTTTACGACAGCTCCACTGGATGCTTTTATAGTGTAAGATGGTTTTAGAAGTCTTTCATTAGGAGAGAAACTTCTCACTTGGGGAAAACGATGCAGAGGTTGGCTGAGGTTAAGACTTGGTGCTTAGATGTTTCTTCAGTTCAGCGGTCAGAGCAGGAGGTGTGAAGATAATTTGCTCTCCAAAGTGGATCACCTCACACGCTTTAGTTGTAATTTTTCCTTTTAAAATTCACTTTTTTTTGTTCTTTGTCTTGCTGATGCCCTTTTAGTGTCCGGCAACAGCCTCCAGCTATAGACTTTATATAAAAGATGGTGGATTATAGCGCCTGTGTCTGGTGCCTTGCATCTGCATTCTTTCTAGTAGCCAATAGGAGGTTGACTCCTTTATTGGAAGAAGTCTGGTTGTATAAAATTTTTGACACCCCTCAACTTTGACCTCTGTCAACTTTGCTGATGTCTTATTTCATACAGAATGGTGTTCTCTTTGTAAATTACAGCGCTCAATGGAAGGACAATTCAGCAGAGTGTCCTTTAAGGTTGACCTACCTTGTGATGACATTGATTGCTCACATGCAATACCAAAACTTCCACTATACTGGTGAACACGCACAACTCCAAGTGCCGTCACATTTGTGATATCGATAATTACAGTAAGTATTGGTTTTGGTGACATGCCTACTTAAATCATGGCTTAAATCAAACAATCAGTAAAAACATGGCACTTTTGCCTGACTAAAGTAAACAACCTCTTCACTGTGGCTGTGTCCATTTCTTTTATACAGTCTATGTCTCTAGCTTTTTTTTGTTTTGCTCATTTTTGATTCAGTTATTCAAAAAACTAGTCAATATGACTTACCTTAAAGAAATGCGTAATAAAAATGATTCTCAAAAAAGTTGTTGAGATTATGCAGATAACAGTTTGATTCTCAGTATTTCTTAGGGTCTAGCAAAATTCAGTAACATATAGTAGTAGTAATAGTATGAAAATGAAATGTCTAACTCCTGTTTAATGTTCTTTTTAAATCAGACAATTCCCAAACCAGTAAATAAAGCCATCGGCTATGAATTGCATGCTGCTATAATCAGTGTTGTTCAAAGTCCTGCAGGCTGTTAAATTTTGTAAAAACTCAAGCACAATGTAGTACAACCTAATATTTCAGTTTGTTCACTTTTTATTCAATATTTTAACTTGTGTGGCGCTTTTCCCACAAGTATAAAATCATTTAAGTTACCTGAACGCATCATTTTCCATCAGATCAAAGAGACTTTGAGCTATTTGCCCATTTTTAAACTCTTGACTTGAAAAGGGTCCAGAGTGGATTTTTTGTATACCATTAGCTCAGAGCAACATTCGCTTTCAGGAGCTTTGTATTCCAAAGTAAAGTCCCTAAAATGTTAAATGCTAAAAGTAAGCCTCCAATATTCAGTCGACTCAGCTGCACAAAAGGCATGGAATAAAGCCCTGTTCCTCTTTCTGTCAGGAAAGCTCTGGACTCGATCATGTATTAGCTAGGGGGGTGGGGGGGGTCATTTTCAAGAATTTTGGCATATGTGTTTAGAGAAAATTTTCACCGCCCTGCAGCTGTGGAGTGTTTTTAAGCATGCAGTGCACAAGTTGATTGAATCATTCAGCGTGTTTTAAAATGTCAGTCTGACAACTTATATTGTTCGGATTGTTTTCACTGGCTGTGAATATTTCAGTTTTTCACCACTTTCTCAGAAAAGTAATAGAAAGCCCCTCTGGTGAGCTCCAGCAGCACTACCTCAGTTTACTCCTGTTTGTAGCCGTGATAACCTCCGTCAGCCATGTTCTTCTGAAATGGTACAATCCCACATCCATATTCCATGTTTACGCTCCTGTCCGGTGCCTTTACGGTTTTGTGCTGATGTCGTGCCCCCACTTGCATCTTAAACTAAGCGGGAAATATGTTGACTCTGCTCATTTCTGCGAGGCCTTGGCCCTGTGGAATATTTGGTCTCTGGTGTAATCCGTGGTTTCGTTTGTCCTTATGAGGATGACCCTGAAGTTTAACCTGGCTGTTACTCATTTGCAGCCGCACCACATTACATCCTCGCTCCAAGGTCTCCTCGTCAGCAAGGACACGTGGGGCAGGTTTACTGTACAAGCTTCAGCTGCTGTCCATTCATGGCTCTGATTACCCTGTTAGGCTTTGATGGGTAATGTGTATAATAATGTGCAGCATGGTGATCGGCTGTTGCTGGGTATTGTTTATTAGCTTTAGTCTAAGAGAGTAGCAGCATGTAGCTTCCCTTTTTATCAGCATAATAGAGTATCCGCTTGTTAACTAATCGACCCCTTTTCAGGGTCCAACTGTTTCCTGCAAGGATGAGGCTTTCATTTGAAAAAAACTTTAAGAGCTGCACTGACTTTTTTTCCTTTTTACTTGTTTGGGTTTTTTTGTTGTTTTTTTTGAACCTCCAAAATATTCAGTTGTTATTTTTGGCTTCTCCAGCTTGTTATTAGTACTGTCTATTACCCTTTGGAGCTAAGTTTTTAAGAAGACATGATGTACTCTACAGCCCATTGGCTCAAATATTTAATCTTGTCAACTTGGGTAAGATTTCAGTGTGGACGTTAACTTAAGGATCAGCAATAGAGCCACTGAATCCACCACCAGCTGGGTCCCATCTTTGTGAAATTTACATGTTGTTCTTGTTTTGAGTTCCCCCTGCGTTCTCTGGATCCCTCCCACAGTCCACATAGGAAATATATTAAGTTAACTGGTGAGAATTTGCCATAGTTAGAAATGTGAGCAAGATTGGTAGTCTGCGTGCTAGCCCTGCGATAGATTGTAAACCTGTACGCCACCTCTTGACCCCATGACAGGGTTAAGAAACGGATGGATCTGGCTTGTTAGTGCAGCTTGGAAACAAGCTCCATTTTCACTTATTTGCCCAAACTTTGTCACACAGATTCCTGTCTCAAGACCAAAACACCTGTTACCCTTAAGTAACACGGTGTCTTTGCCTCACTTGGTTCCCTGTCACTCTGTTTTTGGAGCTGCCTGAGCCACAGGCTCATTTCAAGTGGAGCACAGAAGCATTGCAGCCAGAGATGAATCAAAACGAGTCTCTCTCTTTCTCCTTTTAATATCCTACATTGGACTTTATTGCTTTTAAATATAGTGACAGACCTTTTCACAAGTACTACACTATTAGCTAGCATTGCCCAGTACATCTTGATCAGTGTGCAATTTTGTAAATGTGTTGTTATTAGCTCCTTTTTTTAAATGTTTAATTCAAACTGTGAGTGTGACGCTGCAGTTCTCCAAGCACATGTTTACAAGGGAAAAACACGAGAAGTGTAACCTCAGCTGTAACCTTACTCGCTGTATAATAGTTAGACAGCATCTTTTTTTTTTTTTTTTTTTTTTTGGCACATGAGTTGATAAGCAGCACTTTACTGAATAGTGTTTCCTCTCCTTATCTCAGGTGTGGGCGCTGGGCGCTTGCCAGACTGGGTGAGCTGAGAACTAAGACTGAAACCTGTTGAGAGAGAGAGAGGGGGGGAAAAAACATCACCTGGGACTGCTGAGGAGGACCTCTGTGCAGGTGAGGACTGACAGATGTGATGAAGATGAAGTGTTTATACAGGCTTTACTTTTCAAATGGATCAATCACACTGGTTTTAGGGTTTGTGATTCACAACATGTGACAGTGCAAAGCAGGTGTAAAACATGACTGATATACATTTGCATGCTTTTTTTATGATTTCAGCTTAATAAGTGTAAACTGTTAGAGTAGCAGTGCAGAGAATATGAAAAAGTCCCATTAAAACAATTAAATAAAATCATAAACAAAGAAGATAAAATGCAAAATAAACCCCAACTACCTGTTTTTTATTTTATTTTTCTGCTATCATTCAAAACATTTCCCAGGCTTGTCACTTTAAAGCAGAACTCCAGTGTTACCAAGTAATATTACAAATCTAACAGGCACAAACTGTGTTTTTTTTTTTGTTTTGTTTTTTTTTTTAAATTTACCTGCACACCTAACCTGCTTAGGTATGCAGCACGAGTTACCATGGCAATGCAAAGTGAACCACCTTTGTAATACTAAAAAGCAAAGATTAAACCTGAGGATACTTCACTAAAGCCCCAAATCCTGCTTCAGAGTACAGGCCTGTGGCTTTAAATGAACAAAGTATTTTGTCTGCATGACTCACATGTTAAACGCGTTACTCTCTGGGTTAGACTCACAGCGTTTGTAACACTGAAAGCTTCATTTTGCATTATTAACAAGCTATGAGCAAATTAGAGAGTATTTCCTTGCTTTGAAGATCCTCAGATCTAAAAGATTCGGTATTTCTTTCTAAAGTTGACAACTGCAACACGTTTTTTGCTAAAGTCTCCCTCTATGCCCTCACCTCTCGGCACTTTTGGTACTCCAGAGTTGAAGTTTTCTGTCACAGATATCTGCAAAACAAACACTGCATGCTGCATCTGCATCTCACAGAGCTTGAAATGTGTTTACTGTGCAATATTAAAAACGCACAGTAATCAAACATGGTTTTGACGACGCAAACCTTTGGCAAACTGCAGCATTGTCACTGTGGAAACCACCTACCGTTCTTCCTGACTAATTGATGTCCAGAGTTTGGCAGTTAAAAAAAAAAGCAGACAAATGGTTGTTAGATTTATTAATATTGAAGATAAGCTTAAGTCTTAATGTAGCAACGTTGATAGGACGGGCCTGCTCTCTTTATAAACACCTTTCCTTACATTGAAGTCAGTTTGGCTACTTCATATCCTGACTGTCAGCTTCAGTTGGGAAATTTGCTAATCAGAAAGATTTAGACCATGCCCACATGTCTCTGTCATTATCCCTGTGACCTCAGAGTAATCATTAAAGAGAGAACTGCTTGGGAGGGAAATGAGGAGAGAGAAAAGGGAGTTGGAGAGGCTGTTTCTCCTCAGTCAAATGATTTTGGAGTGAGGAGAGGATATAGAAAGGAGATATGATTCTGGCCGTGCGAGGCATTTACATACGGTATGGAAATGTGACAGACTGTGGCGTTGAGGACACATTTGCTGCTGCTCTTAGGTTCACACGGCCGTCAGCAGGGTGGAGCTTCCTGACCCATGGAGAATTACTTCCAGGCCGAGGCCTTCAACCTGGACAAGGTGCTGGACGAGTTCGAGCAGAACGAAGGTGAGCTTTAATAGATGCAGACAGCAGACGAGGACGAGCGGTGAGTCATTGCGGACGAGGAAAGGCGAACAGAAAAGGAAGAGCTGCTGTCAGCGTGCCATTGCACAACCTCTGAGAGTAAATCATCAAGGTGTCAGAAAATCAGCCACCGCCCATTAAGTCTGAGTAACATTCCCAGGTGGGGATTGAGGGCGGGCCACGAGGGGATAGGATTAATTGAATTTCCCATTTCCCTTAGGCTTTGAGACATCGTGTAACTGGTGCAAGACAGGAGGGTTGGCTGTTTTCATCACACTTAATGATCCCAAAAGTGTGTCGGAGCCTTTTTGGAGACTCTGTGATTTCACAGTTTATTTATGGTAATTGTGAAGTAAACACTGCGTTACTGAGCTGTGTATCTGCATTCTCTCAGCATTCCAGCACAAATGCCTGTTATAGGACAAAAAGGATGGCTCTTCTTCTAAATTTGTCTTCTAAAGTCCTGCAGATCCATGGGCACAAACTAGAGTTTAATGTTACTGTGAACTTGGTGTGTATTTTGTCTGTGTGTGGTTATCTTTGACCTCTGTCAGAGATCCAGCTTGGCAGATTAAGTGTGTGTGTGTGTGTGTGTGTGTGTGTGTGTGTGTACGCTGCACACTGAAACAGCTTAGCATGAACTGCAGTGTATGGAGGCGAGAGCCGACTGTGTGAGGAAGTCGGTTTAAAGAAATATTTTAAGAATTTCTACTTGTATTACACAGCAGTTATATGTCGGCTTGACTGATGGCTCCCAGGGGTGAGCGAGCCATTTTGGCCCACTTTCTCAGAATTTCCCAGTCCATCCACACACTAATTTCCCACTCCATGCCAACCTCATTTCTCAGTTCATCCCCTGCTTTGTTCCTGCCATTTTTAGCTTTTTCGATCACCTGGAAGTGTGTATCTTTGTATCAGTTCTCTGTGGCTGTTCTTGTGAGGCTGCTCAAGGGTTCACGATCTCCTAACCACTTCCTCGTATTTCACATTTCATGTGTTAAGCAGAAAATTGGAAGCTGTTTGGAAAGTGTAGATAAATGGTTGTGTCTGGCAAATGCAAAGTGGAATAGGGAACTACATCAAGACAAATATTAATTTATGTCTTTATAGATATTAAATGGTGCAGACTTCATAAGACCAAGCATGAGCACCAATTTTTCTGACATGAGGATGACAATACCAGTTTAGACATTAATATTTTGGTTGATTTGGTAAAAAAAAATTAGTTGTAGATATAATTTGAGTACATTAAAATACGTTCAAAGAGCTTCTGCTGAGATCCATACAGTCTTTCATTTTCCTTTTTTTTTTTTTTTTTTTTCTCTGCAGATGAGACGGACACTCCCATTCTTTCAGATGCTAAGTGGACCCAGATCCTGGCCCCACCAACCCACATGCTCTCTTTGAACCCTGCGCTGGCTCACGCAGACCTCAGCCCCCGGGAGAGTCCCCTGTCTTTTAAGACCCTCCCCGACTCATCCTCCACCCCTTCCCCAGGGGCCGATCCGAAAAGGCATCCTGGTCCCGAACCTCCATCCTGGGCAGAGGAGAGGCCGGCAGACGTCCACAGCCCTCCCCTCCCCCAGCCCAATATCGGCAAACTGGTGGGCACCGACGACCTCTCGCCGCCCCCTGTGACGGCCTCTGACAATGTGGAGAATGGCTGCCTGTCCAGTCCACAGCTGGATGCCCTCAGCAAAGAGATAAGTTCTCCTGCAGACATCCAGCTTGGTGATTCTGGCCAGGAGACTAAACGTGAAGAGACAGATGCCTCGTCTGGAGGAGGAGGCTCGTCCGTCAGTCACACTCGCTTCAGCTTTGAGGTTGGATTACAGGAACAAACACCCTCCACAAAAATTCTCCCAAATGTGGAACACACGGCACAAAATGGGGATGATGGCAGTTCAGCTGCCTTACAGGACTTTGGCCTAGAAACGCAAACTGGAATTTTAAAAGAGGAGCAAGGGGAAAGTCTCCTGAATGGAAACAGGGTTGTTCAGAGTGGGTGTGAGTTGGAGGAGAACGGTGCGTCTCCTTCGGACAAGGTTGGGCTGGAGAAGGAAAGGAGATGTGGTCCAGAGGGACAAGTAGACCAGCACCACAGAATAGCAAATCTTCCAAATGGTTTGGAACAGGAGAGCGGGACCAGCTCTAAGCCTCAGGAGGTGGAAGAGAGGGTAGAGGAAGGTGTTTCCCCCTCTCCTGTCCCCTCAAAAGAGGACTCTGTAACTGAGGAGAAAGAAATGGAGGAGAGCAAGCAGGAAAGCGGCGAGGGAGGAGCGGGGGGATCGGGTTGCATCCAACCAAAACTCAACAACCGGCTGCAGCCGGTCAGCATTCCCTATGGAGGCGCCCGACCCAAACAGCCCGTCAGCCTCAAGCTCCAGATCCCACAGCCGTTGTCGGGCCAGGTGCAGAACCTGCTCAGTCCGTCTGCCGCCAACAAGAACAAGAACCTCGAAAACCAATGCCGGAAAGGCACACCCTCCGAAACGTCGCCTGGCGGGACTGACCAGAGTGTAGTCAGTGTGAATGGAGAGGGCATCATCCACTCTCCATCCCTCATACCCCCAGAGAGCCCAGACAATGATCTCCAGGCAGGGCAACAAGGTGCTCTGTGCAGGAAACCTACCAGCTCTCTGGGAGAGGTCGCCCCTGTGTGGGTTCCTGACTCCCAGGCTCCAGTCTGCATGAAATGTGACGTCAAGTTCACCTTCACCAAGAGGAGGCATCACTGCAGGGCCTGTGGCAAGGTCAGTGGTGTACTAAAACTGTGCTAATCTAACCCATAAAGAGCAGTCTAGCTATAATGACCTATTACACAGCAGTGTATCTTGGTGATTATATTGTTTTTGATGTTTAATGAATCTCGTAAGTGTGCCTCAAAAGTAGGCAGTGTTTTAATATTGAGCAAAAACAGAAACGGCGAGATGGAAAATCATGTGGAAATAGCTTTGATAGATGAAGGAGGTAAATTTAATGCAGGGCTGTGATAGACGCTTTCCTCTTTAGGCATTTATTTGCAGATAGTTAGGCAGGTAGCTTTATAGCATTATGCCCACCCACACACACAAAGCAGGTTGTCTGCACTGTGCTCTAAGCTGAAGATGCAGTCGCTGACAGTGCAGTGGAAAAATTGGCGGACTGCTACTTAATTTCCCATGGTAGTAAACAAAATCACACACACTCCTTGCCACTTGAGCAGGGGGGAGCTGGCACTGCAGTAATACTAACACCTGCACTGGGGCTGCAAACAATAGGCGCAGCGGGAACCTCGGTGCACCCTCCACCACAGTGCTAGATCCACAACTAGATTATAACGGTGCTGCGTGGCTCTGAAATTAAAAGGATCATCTACCCTCTGTCTAATTATTTAAAGTACATGATACTGGAAAATGACACGTAATGAGGTACTAATCCATTGAAAGAAAAGTGTCGTGTACGCAGCTGCAGTTCATTGGAGCGCTGGCTCAGTACATGAAATCAGTGTCCATAAAACGCTACATTTCCTGCACATTTAATGACAACTTTCTGGACGTTCTTTAATTAAAAAAAATAAATAATAATTTTTACGTTGAAGGTGATGATGTCATGTTGGAGGTTTGGTCATTTGTAGGATTCTGGTGTTATTTTTCTGTCTCTCCGTGTTGTTTTTAAGGTGTTCTGTGCGGCGTGTTGCAGTCTGAAGTGCAGGCTCATGTACATGGACAGGAAGGAGGCTCGTGTCTGTGTCACCTGTCACTCTGCTCTGACAAGTGGTGAGCATCATTGCAAGTACTGCAAGGTTTCTTCTTTGCAACTTATGGAATCAGATGTTAGAGGTGCAAATTGCTAACAGTTTCCTCCGTATCCTTTTAATGAATTTAGTATGTCCAGATAAAACCTTTGTCCAATTTTACATTTTCTTTATTTGCAGTCACACAGTAGACAGCGGTATATAAAATCATCTGTGTTTATACAGCTTTCCAGTGTAATTCCTCTTAGAAGTTTGTTTGTTT